CGCTCTTTTTGGGGGGGGGGGGGGGACGCTCGGTAAGATTTGCAATTGGGAAAAATCGATTTTGATAGTGGCGGTCGAGGCATTTAACGAGTCCGTGTCGTTGCACGAGATTGACAAATTGGCATTCCTCTGGTGCGGGAGAATCGATTTTTATCAGACGACAATTCGAATTTGTCTCGCTGCATCTATCGTAATTCGATGAAGTATTGATTTTTATTAGCGATCTAGCCGTCGAGCCGTAAATACCCGATTTCGCAAGAACACTCGACTCGCTTCGTATATTATGACGGCGCATTGTCGTAATATTGCAATTACTTAGTTAATAATTAAATTTCCAACAGATTATTTTATTGGTATTTCATTGGATTAGTTTGTTGATAAATGTGTGCACATAAGAATAGTTATTAATTTTTTTGAATTGCAGATTTAGCGAGCATCAGCTTCGGATTATGTGATCGAGAGGTTTGTACACGAGTGCCATATGTTTTTTTTATGAGAGGCTCGTAGTTCGGAACGATAAAGATACCGATTGTTATTCATTTAAAAGCACTCGACTTAGACTTTAGCTCACGTTCATTCGGGAGAAAATTTCATTTTACATTTTGATTTATATCTTAATAAATTGATAGTTAGATACTAAATTGCAAGATTTACAATGCATATACGATAAGTAGTATACGGGAGTGAGAAATATACGGGAATAATGCTCGGCTGTCAATTATTTTTACAATGTAATTTTGATTCTGGATAAATAACATGGAAACTCTCGATTTCCTTCCTTAAATCATGGTGTAATTGACCATAGTTGTTGCGTGCTTAACATGACAAATGCCATTGAAAGTCGAGTTAAGAGTCGTTTAAAGTGCCAATGACAAGGCCCAAACGAGATAAGAGTTCAAGTCGAATTTTTTTCTTTCCATTTCTGCTGGTGGCTTCTCTCTCTCTCTCTCTCTCTCTCTCTCTCTCCTTTTATTTCCTCGGTAATGCTCAGTCAGAATATCTAATGTCTAGGAGAGGCGTACGCAATAGAATATTCTTCACTCGTAGCGTTTGTCGTGAGACGCAATACCAAAGTTATTGTCCTTTTGCTGGGGAATATTTTTAATTGATGCGACCCGTCCGCAAGTACTATCGCGCAAATTTATTCTTAAAGTCTATCGCTTTTATCTGACGTATACGCTTTGGACTGCCTCTTACCACGAGCAAGCAAACTTGTCGATTCCTTATATAATTTTTCAAGGAGCAATACAAAGGTCAAAGATTAACGATAAGACAAGCAAATGGAAAAAAGCTCTAGTTGGAAAAATATATTGAAAATAAGTGTTTTGAAGTTGCGTTACGATATCAGAAATCAAGTGCATCGTCCTTTACGCACTCTGCTGGTCGAATAAAATATTATTGATCGGCAGGTTCAAAGAACCTTATCTTATTGTATTAAGTACAATAAATATACTCAGTAAAAAAACAAAATGTTTTTAAGTTAGAGAGGTGCAATAACACTCTATGACTAATGCTGTCTAAATTATGTATTATCGAGTATGACGTATTGAAAAATCAAAATTAAATTTATAATTGTAAATTGAAAATTGTTTTCTAATTGAACATTGTCCTACATAAATTATTTATTTATAGTCTTCTTAATGGCCACATTGGCTACATTTTTAATTTTAATAATAACAATAATAATGACCGATTACGAATAATTGAAACACATTGTATACAGATTATATATAATACTAATAATTATAATACAATGAATGGGCTTTAATGTTTGAAAAATTCTAATGAAAAATTGTATAAACTTTCTAATTGAATTGTTGGTGCTAATAATGAAATATCGAATTACTACCAGATAATATTAATACTTAATGATATTGCATTGTTTAAATAAAGCTCTCTCTCTCTCTCTCTCTCTATATATATATATATATATATTTATATATTTATATATTTATATTAAAATCTATATGTGTGTATGGGTGCGCGCGCGCGCGCATGTGTGTGCATATATATATAGACACGCGAATGACAAATATTTATGAACATTAATTATTGAATAAATTTAAAGTAAGTATTTTAAGTAAAATAAATAAAGTTGAAATACGATTTTAAGTATAACACGCAAATATTTTAGCTCAAATAAATATCAAATAAAAATTTGTGCTTCGGTGATCATTAATTAAGCCTGACAAAACTCGATAATACGAGTGCAAGAAAAGTATTGCGCTTGTTTCGAAAACTTTTATAAAAGCATGTAAAAACCAATTGATCCTTTTTATACTTCGACACACAAAATGAGAGTAATGACAGAATTACTTGATCGAGGCAATTATTACCTGTGGTATAATGAATTTTTTATTTATTTATTTTTTTTTTTACTCTACTTTTTTTACTACACAGTATATCTAAGACTACCTTCGGAGCTCCAGAACATAAGTGGTGTGTTCCACAAGGCAGAAAGAATCGTAATATCGGAGTATAATGAAATGATGCTGGGCATGCGTGTACACTTAATTGATTTCGTTTGAAATCATAAAATAACGACCTTTCATTCCATAAATTCACAAAGAACTTGCGGTAACTTGCGGCGGTGGCGGCGGCGGCGGCGGCGGCGGCGGCGGCGGTGCCGGCGCTGATAAAATCGGTGTCGCGATATAAATGTAAAAGAGTATATAATGGCGTGATAGCTGTGAGGTGGTGTAACAACAGCCGTGGTCGGGCAACTCATCCGGATGTCACATCCCCCCCGATAAGCATCACACTAGGGCACTGGCGATCGCCATGGATTCGTCGGGGCTCGCCGTGGCGTCCGGTAAACCCGCGATCACAAAGTCGTATCGAGTCCTCCATCCGGTCGCGGGCGCGGACGACGTCGAGGAGCTCGACTCCTCGATTTCGTAGCTCGCAGACACTTCGAGGCGGCGATACGCCCGGGGACTTACCCTCCTCGTCAGCCATCTTAGTTGTTGCCGGAAAGTCCTCGCCGGTCGTCATGGTAACCCCGCTACGGTGGCGGTCTCCTCGTGGACGCGCTCCTCCCGACCTGCTTGTTTTGTCGATTGTGCGGGCGCCCGGAGACTACGCGCCCAACCCTCTCCTGTCCCTGACAGCTCCAAACTTATCGACAGGGTCCCGCGTCCCTGGTGCCGCTCCCCAGCTCCAGTCTACCGACCCGACCATTCGACGAGCCTACGACCCCCATCCTCGGGCCGCGGATTACGATTACGCTTCTCCCTTGGTGAACGGTCGCCCCGGCGGTTGCCACTACGAGTGGTCGAGTCCTCGTCACCGATCGATGTACCGCTCACCCAACCTCGATCACCCCCGTCAAATCCCCGTCACCGTCAGTCTGCCTTCCTTTCTTTCTTCCTTCCTTCCTGCCTTCCTTATTTCCTTAATTCTCTCCTTCCTTCTTTCCAACCTTTCTTTCTTCCTTCCTTCCAACCTCTCTTCTTCCTCACCGCCCTTCCCGCCTCACAACCGTTTCCACGAAACGCTGATGACGATCGTGAATTTTAAAAGGATCAATGTCGCGTCTTCGCCTCACCTAAGAGCGCTTTCACTTTTCTCCAGACTTTACGTATGGGGGACCGCGCACTCTGCGATCTCAAACTCGGCCGCGAGACAGACGCTCCTCCCCGGCGAAGAGGCCGGGCGCGACGACGTCGGCGAGGCTCAGACAGCCGGATCTCAGCAGGCAGAAGAGCAGACAGGCGCGAAAGTAGCCCTTGGCCCGGGCTCCCGCTAACTTCGCGACCCACATGAATGCGATCGCCCAGCGGCGGCGTTCGCGCGACGAGTGACTCGCGTGCCTCGGGGCCTTATTGTTATATAAAAGCGATGCGCTTTCGCGAGTCGGGGGAATCGATTAGCTCGCACGCCCTCGAGCCTAAATGCCGAGGTCTATTTATCCGGCGCGGCGGCTATCCCCGATCCACTTCCACCGCGCTTCTGCGCCGCGTTGTCTCGCCTCCATCCACCGCGCGCTCATTAACATCGTCGCCAAGGACTGCGCGCGCACCTGAGAAAAAACTTATATGGCGAGAGGCTGCTTCCCAAGTGCGAAATCCCCCACGAGTGCGCGTTTGCCGGGCTACCACCTAGCCTCGGCTCGGAAACGCCGTCGCCGCCGCCGCCGCCGCCACCGCTGCCGCTGCCGCTGCCGCTGCCACTGCCGTCGTAGCCGATGACTCTCCACACCCGCCCCCCTCTAGCCTCAACCATCGCCACCGTCTCCACCCCACTCCACCCTACCTTACCCTACCCTAACCTACCATCTTCACACCCGCAACCTTCGAGGCACCGAGCGAAACTGTGCGAAGCGCGATTCAAATATTCTCGCGCTACTCTGGGTCGGAGCGACTTGGGCCGGAGGGGAGTATTCGGGGCTGCGGCCGCCCCAATTGTTTAAGGTGTCGCGAAGGGTTATGGCACGTGAGCTATCGTGAGCCCTGCAAGTAACATGACTCGCTCGTAGACGGATAACGACGTTTCGTAAAACGTTTCGATCGAGGATGATTTCCTTTCGCCGACTGCACTACCAAGCCTTTAATAATTACCATGAGCCGCGGTTGTCGTGTAATCCAGGAGCTCTTGCATCAGCCCTTATCGATATAACTGCTGGAAGGCAGCCATGAGAATTATATTTAAAATGCTCTGATACCTACGGGCATAATATTTAAATAGCGCATAATATTATACGCGCGCACGCCCATGAGAAAGCCAAATGAATTGGTTTATTTGTCAAAGAGTCTTTTGCGTTTGTCGCTCAAGAGATCCTTGGAGATTAAGATCCCTTGGATAACTTGCACGTTATTGCAATTATTTTTTTTTTCTTTAACGAATGACACGTTTAGCCGACTATTGATATATCGATACTGCTTTCTCGTAGTAAAATCTGATAAAATGTACGCTTATTACGCTGTAAAAACAAAGAATATATAAACAAACAAACAAACAAACAAACATAAAATGAAACAAATCGAATAAATTATCGAATAAATTAGAACACAACGAAAATTCTTTATAAAAAATAAAAGGATAAATTTTTTTCTATATAAATGAAGACATATATACCAATGATTACTCTGCACGCTTAATTATTAGTTGTTAAATTAGTTATTGCAAGTCTCATAGGCTATTTTCATTAAAAACAAATACTGTTTATTAGTAGATTACGGAACGAATACAGAAATATATTTGAGCGTACAAAGGTAACGCCAACTGATTATGTACAAAATTTATTTATAAAATAGTATACCTTATTTGTATCAGATTTTTTTATTTTGCGAGGACAAAGGACTAAGGATAAGATTATAAATAATAGAAAGAAATAATAAAAGAACATAAGAAAAAACATTAGATGATTAGATAAGACTATTTGTATGAATTCGTATTGAAATGTCTAACGTTTTCAATATTTTCATGTAAATTTTGATAATATTGAAGTGTTTTATTTTCGTCGGCAAGGCAATTATGTATTCATTGAAAAACCTTGTAATTGTAAAAACAAAAACAAAAACAAAACAATAGAACAGATAATTTTTACACGGTTTTCTTCTTCTTCATAATTTATGGGATTTTGATTTTTTTTTCTTCTCCGATTCTTAATTTGTCAACGCAAACTATTGAATAAAATTGTATTTAAAATTGTAATTATAAGAGTAATTCTAACTTGACCAAGATAACCTACATTTCTCAAACCGCTTTCCATCTACTTATTGGTGAGAAACATATTACGTAAGAAAGAAATGTAATCGATAAAAATATGCGAATTATTCATTGATTGTTATTATTATTATTATTATTATTATTATTATTATTATTAGTAGTAGTAGTAGTAGTAGTAGTAGTAGTAGTAGTAGTAATAGTAGTATTATTGTTATTGTGATTATTGCCTACGGATCGTGACGCCAATGTTTACTAATGCATGCTTCATTGCCATTTCGATTGTTTATCAGATTGGTGGCCAAAAATTTTGTTTCCTATCCACCATATGAAATATTCTCATTAATATTTCTAGTGAATTTCATGCTAAATAATTGCATTATTTATCTTGTGCAGTAATATATCTCGCGGCGTAATTTATTTGAATTATAAATATTTATTTTAGATATTTTAACGAAATAAAGATCTTTTACTTATATGTATAATTTATAATGTATTATTGAGAATAAGAGATATTAATAAGAATAAGAATATTCTTAATCCGACATATATTTGAAATATCGGATTTTGGATAATCCATTAAATCGTTAGTTTTCAGTTTGAAAAATATTTCTTCAATTAATAAGTGCAATTACATATTGCTATTTTGTATTCAAGCACAAAGAATGTCGAATTATTGGCGAATAATTATTTTCTTTAATAACTTATTAATATAAATTGGTGCATTTCCAATTATTAGAATATATTATTCGTTAATAATTGAATTCCTATATATTATATGCATAACAAATTTCAAAATATAAAACTCAATTTGTTTATTATGCGTTAATATAGTACCAGAATAACATTAAATGAAAATATATATGTGAAAAATTATATTATTATATATGTACTCTCATTATATGCCTGGCTGATTCACAAAGATACTTAAATTATATGCAACATTCGAAATATAATAAAAATGCTGATTATCAAAGAGTATTCATTTATTTTAATTAATCTCTAAGTGTTAACTCTAATATTCCTAAAATAAAATACAGTTAGATCGATTAATTAATCAATAATGTTATTATCAATCAGTTGATATTATTATCAATAATTATTGTTCTTGTTTTTTTTTTTTTGCTTCATAAATTACTTAATGTACTTCATAAAGTTAGTAATTTAATAATTTAATTATTTACATGAAAATATTATTTAAATGTATGATTAATTGGAAGACTATCGTTTTCATTGCATTTATATCTATTAATGATGATTTCTTTATTATTAAAGAGGTTTATCTCATCGTTGCGAGTAAATTATTTCATATTAAAAACAGTCGCAAGATTCACAAGATTCTTTAACATTCCTTTATCGTAAGTGAAGTGGAATATAGACTTGATGGTGTAAAAACAAAAACAAAAACAAAAACAGAAACAAAAACAAAAACAAAAACAAAAAACAGAAACAAAAACAGAAACAAAAACAGAAACAAAAAACAAAATTGAAAGCTTCGAAGACTTATCGTGTAATCTCCATTTAAAGTAAGAGTGATATTTTCAGTAAGCGAGTACGTTATTTACGTTGAATGAATTTCCAAATCCCAAGCATAGAAATGATTATGAACTGGTAATATGAATCGGGTAGTTATATTTTTTGTAATGTAGAGCAGCGGTAGAGTTAGCTCAGATGAAAATATTATTCGAAGGATATATCAACTAATAAATCTATGGGCTCCTTGCCTATTCGGAAAAAATTATCAATTTTATCCCTTTGAGTGTAATTAGTATTTCCATCAGGCATAAGACGTAAAATAATTATCGTAATTTAGAAATCCGCGGGCGGTCCATTCGGTCGATTAAAAAATTATTTGACCAAAGGCTCGTGCTACATACGACACTACATGATAATCGAAGTACACTGGGATTCCAATAAAGTACTTTGAGATTCCGTCATTAAAGCTAAATTCTAAAGTCAAGCCCTAACAAGTAACGATCCAATGTTTATCCGCAGTGCTTTCGATCGATAGCACAGGGAATGCCGTTATCACTAATTCCGTGTAAGCCGATACGAAAAGACATGTCAATCAAGTGATAAGCACAGTCGCGAGTGCGAGGGAGAGAAAGAAGTCGGGACGAGCGTGAGAAAGATTAAGCAACAGGCAATTAACAATTAAATTTTAGCGAGTAATCCTGGTTCCTCGAGGTTGCGGCCGTTTCAGCACTGTAGAGTCGATACCTACGTACGTGGGCATCAGGATTATTCCGGGCGGCAGAAAGGTGCGGGTGGCGATAGGGAAGGAGCGGCGGCAACAGTAGCAGTATGGCCTTGTTCAATCAAAGCCGCACATTCGTTCAGCGCATGCAGGTAATGTCGTTTCCCTTGACCTTCGGATGCTAGAGAGCGAAGAGAGCGAAGAGAGAGAGAGAGAGAGAGAGAGAGAGCGATTGGTTGAACGTCGCGCCCACACGAGCACATAACCTCAAATAAGCCGCCAAGTGAAACGCCGTATTGGTTTCCTTTACATCATGCACAAAAAAGACCTTTGTTGATGATAAGAGAGAGAGAGAGAGAGAGAGATACAAGCGCCTCTCACACTCTCACTCACTCACACACACACGCACACACGCACGCACGCACGCACGCACGCACGCACACACACACACACTCTCTCTCTCTCTCTCTCTCTCTCTCTTCGCTCTCTTAGATCTTGGATGTTTACCGGCAAAGCTCGCGGGCCGAGTGCCGACGGAAATTCACGAAGTTCGGTCAACATTTTGAAATCGTGTTGATTGCCGCTCGCCTTATTTGTCGAGGCGCTTCAATGTTGCAGGTGGGACGATCTATTACAAGGACACTAACGACCGCCAGGACTTGGCTCGGACAGTGGCAGGAGAAGCATGTGAACACACAACAGACGAATGGGGTTCGATCGTTATTTACTCTTTAGGAACGTCTTGCCTTTTATTTCAATTATTTATATGCGTTTCTCATCACGCTCCATTATCTTAAAATTGCAATCTTAAAATCTATTATTTACTGTTCGTTTAATTCGTTTTCGTCATCTCATTTAACAATGTCACGGGCTTATATACGTATCTTCTATTATGTTAGATTTATATTTACGTATTGTTTTACTGTCTTTAGGAGTTTTTTTTTTTTTTTTTTTTTTTTTTTTTTTTTTTTTTTTTTGTACGTTACGCATATAAAATAAAAGGTGCCTATAGTTAAACAGGTTTGAATATTTATTTTCTTATTCTTACAACTCTTGGTTTTTTTTATGTGTTTGGTTGTTATTTGTTTTTTTGTTTTTTGTTTTTTTTTTTTTTTTTTTTTTTTTTTTTTTTTTCTTTTTTTGAAATTACGGGATAGCTTAAAATAGATTCGATCGTATGTGAATTTTGTATGACATACAATATCGTTTCATTAGCAGACAACGTACGATTCTTTTGTTTCTATATGTTTTCTTAACGTCACACAAATACAATCTTAATACGTTTGTTAGTAAGTGCAATGTAACTCGTTGCTTCACGTAATATTTCGTCAAAAGAGCGATTTTGTAAAGACGGTATGTGCTAGACGCTATTTTATTATCCAAGTATAAAACAATGGATGATATTACTATTTTTGTTACGAATTAAAATTATCTGCATTAAATCCAATATAATATTCCCTCTCTCCCGACTTCTTCCCAATACAATTTTAATGTTATAAATAATAATATTTATCCCATTATCGTGATTTCTTGGATCGTTCAAGATTTGCTAGACGCGTAGTAGAACAATATGTTTTTTTCTTATTTTTTATTTTGCTTTGCTTTACTTTCATCATCTCTTTCAATATATCTGTGAAAAAAAAAAAAAAAAAAAAAAAAAAAAAATTTTCCAGCACGCCATATAAAAATGAAAATGAGCAAAGATTAATTTTCATACAAAAAATCTAATCGCGCGTAGGTGCGAAGAATCCGACTAAATCATGTCAAGACGAGAAACTCGCTCTCATTGGAAATGATGCACGCGATCCTTCAATGTCTCACCACGGATTCGGAGGATTTAAGCCTCCGTTCGATCGTCATAACAGCCGAGTCTGGCACTATATTTTCGGCTGGTCACAATTTGAAGGAACTGGTTAGTACTTCTTCTGGTTTTCTCCGATTAGTACTACAGCTTCGGCCTAGCTACGTCGAACTAACCTGGCTAGCTAGGAAAATCTCAATCTCCAAACGCACGGAGGAGAAAATGAATAAATAAAGAGAAGTGCAAATGACACGGCGTCGCTTTTGTAGGAAAGATTCATGAATAATTGCGTGATACTGCGCCTCTAACTAAAGCTGAATCCCATTAGGCATTAAGCTTCATCAGCATTCGATAAATTTTCATTATTAAGCTGCTAAAAAAAAAGTAAAGATGAACGAGCGTACGACGGCCTACTTACAATGTGCCGCCAGCATGGAATTAACGATGAATAAATAAATTGCTTAGATATCGAGCTACGGGGAAGAGCATCATCGCGCGATCTTTGACACCTGCGGCCAGCTGATGAAGGCGATATCGGAGTGTCCGGTACCCGTGATCGCGGCGGTCGACGGTTTGGCTACAGCCGCCGGTTGCCAGCTCGTAGCGGCTTGCGACATCGTCGTCGGTACCGAGAGGAGCAGCTTCTCCACTCCTGGGTAATTACCCGGGAATCATAAATCCATTATATCTCCCCTTACCCATGGCTTTTCCCTGATTTTCCTTGCTTTCCCTTGCTTTTTTCCAACGCGCGATTGAGTTACGAGGGGCGGGGGTGGGGGGGGGCTGTGCTCTACATCACACTCGTATTGTAATTTTGACTTATGTGGCTGGTGGTTAACTTCGCGATAAGGCCCATATTTTTATAAACTGCGGAATCGTTTGCCGTCTCACTTACGTGAGTCGTGAGTTGATGTGAGCCAAGATTCTTCTCCGGGATAATAATCAATGATCAAAGGAGAAGCAATTGTTTCCCTGACAATTGTACATAATAAGGCGATAATTAAATAACGACATGCCAAACGATGTTGTTCTTTTCGTTTTTTTTTCTTCTCTTTATCACGTTCATTAAATGTAATATGAAAGCCGAGTCGCAAGTAAATTTAAGAGACTCTCAAGGGTGTCACGCTAAATCATTGAATTATCTCAATAAAATTAGTACGTTCTCTCATTGACTGTCTCATTGAAGTCTGCGAAACAATGTTGAAATATTATTGCATCGTTTTTTATTTTTAGTCGGTTCCATTGCGCAACAAAATACATTTATTCCATTAGTTGTAAAAGTAACAATATTAAGGAAAATTTGATTATTAAAATAAAACTTTTTTTTCTTTTTTTTTTCTTTTACGTTACTTAACAATATTCTTCTTACATGCCCGGTACAATGGGTTTGATATGTTTTTATTGTTACAAGTTCGATTATTTCAATTCGATAAGCATGTTTTGTTTTTTGGTTTTTTTGGTTTTTTTTTTTTTATTTTAAATTATTATATCAGTGAGAATTATAATTAAAACCTACGATCGATCAAATTTGAAAGTACTTTAGTCGATACATCGACCCATCACGTTATTTCAATTATAGTACGAGTAATAATTATTGTTATTATTACTTCATTGAATATTTATAATAATTGCATTTGTCAATAGACTAGGTTTTTTGAAGTAAATATATGTAAGACTTATTTATATAATAATACGTTGCCATTAGTAATTATTATTACTTTAAAAAATATTTCGAGTGTAAAATGAAATATCCTGTATTATTCCTTATAAATCCTTATAATGAATATTAATCAATTAGGTTAAAGAATATTCAATAAACTCCGTTATTTTAACGAAATTTTGAATTAATATCAATATTCAATAGGAATTTTGTTCATTTTATAAAAATAGTAACGTAATACTTAAATTATTATCTTACCTACATTGCATTGATCTAATTAAGTAGTCTATACTAATGACTTAATTCGATAATATGAGTTTACAGGTACGAATCTCTATTAAATATCAAACAATTAGAATTATATTATTTTGAAATTCTTTTGTTGAAAGAGAATTATATCGTTGAACCTACTTGAAACACACAGAGAAATATTTAAGAAAAAAATTGAAAAACAATTTATGTTATTCGATAAAATATGTACAATGATAATATTTTTATTTTTACCGTATTAATAGATATTTAACTAATTTGCAATTAAATTATTTAATTAATGTAAAATACGGCTATACTACTTGTTTCGACTTTTTCTTTTCTTTAAGTCAAATAAGTAATTGACAGCCATTATCATTTCGAAAATATAACTTATATTACGTTTAATTAACTTTAAAAATATTCTATTTGCTCATATTCTTTTATACCCTTTTCCAGTATGAATTTATTAATACATATTGAATTATTGCTGATAAATCATTAAAAAAAAATATATATATATGTATCTAATAAAATGAAAATGCATGTAAAACTTTCTTGTAATGTGGAATTACATATGTTTAGTGAAAGAAGATTTTAATTTCTAATTTCATGAAGTCAGTCATGGATTCAAACAAATTATCTATGTAAATTATTGAATTCGATTTTATTTTAGAAAGGAAACATATGCTCACTACCGGTCTTATTATTTTAATCATTTTATCGTATTGATGGATGTACGATATTCTATATGATCTATCTTAGGGGCAGGAACATTATTTCATTAAAAAAAAAAAAAAAAAAAAAAAAAAAAAAAAAACATTAAAACCAAGTACATTTGCGTTAGTAAGATTCTTACAAATGAAATATATTGTTACTCTCTATCTTCCTATGCATGGATAAAAAAAAAACAGTACTAAATGCATTTATTAATAAAATATTAAACTACACTTGCATTAGATAATTAGCTGCAAGAACTCTTAAAACGCGAATAATAATAAATTATAGCTTTCGAGTCTGTAGCAAATGAATTAATATAAATATGAATTTAATAACTAATAATCAATGATTTTAATAAATCAAAATTATAAAATAAATTAATTTTTCTAATCAAACTTTTAATGTTTTTTTTTTTTTTTTTAAGAATAAATATTAATAATATTGATTTTGTTGACATAACTCTATCACTAACTACCTTCGTTTTCCAATTTGACCATAATATCTAATTTAATATCTTCTGTTCTTCTGTTCGTTTATTTTATTTATTTTTATGCGATATGATTAAAAGAAAATGGATAATAATTTTACGTTAGAACTAAGGTATTGTTGATTCATTATAATTGCCTAATTGCCGTTTATTGATTGCAATAAGAAATTAGATTAATTACTTTGTTCATTCTTATGTGATAATTTTATTAATTCTCAGCCACGTAAACAACGTCTTTCACTAATGTCGCAGTGGCTGTGCATTAAAAATTCATTTGTTCATTGATTGTATTTATTCTGTTTTCGAGTACTGCGTCGTTAATATCGTTATTTTTTCCACTTAATTAATTTATAGATTGTCATTAGTTGGTGTTTTGTAGGGGTAAAGTAAGGGCATCCAATGATAATATAATATCTAATATATTATCCGGTATAATTAATATGTGCATGGAAATCTTTTTATGTAGATTAATTTGATTTAACATTATATATAATTAGGGTATGTCTCGCTAGTTTTAAATTTATGGATAAATAACGAAGTATAAGTAATACTGAAATTGCTGTTAATGCAATTTATATAAACAATAGAGTAAAAGTTGATAAAATCGACTAAGATTTTTAATGATTAATTTTACTAGAATATATATTATCTTAAAAAAAAGAAAAAAGATACAAGGGATAAAAGTACTGTACGCTAACTTAATTGGTCGAGGAATGTCACAAATTGAGCATCGAGAAAAATGATGTTACTAATTCATCCTTGAACCGTTCTTCAAAATGGAAAAGATGTGGGCGTAGAAAACAACCGAAAAGAAGTATGCGTCTCTACCAATATAATTGGATGTGCTCGAACTTTATTACTTCATCAGTGTGGTAATATTACAGCGTAATAATACCATCGGGCTTATTATTATAAAATTTACAAGATGATTATTTTGCGAAGGACAATAGCTAAAAGATTCCCAAGTTTTTTTTAATGATCGCAAACAAAACAATTATAATAATACAATGTTAGGGAACTGTCGTTGAAGCGACTAATGTTTTTCAGAAAACCTACATTTCGCGCTTGCTTTAAGAAACTTTGAAAATTTTGATCTCTCTACTTTTCAACATTTTTTGATGTAATGCACTTGTAGTGCCGTAGGTATTGTCTTGCCAATTGATTATGAATGTAATAAAAATGCTCGGTATAGCATTGGATAGAAATCTTTTATTAAAACTTAATAATAACTCTTACGTGGTTAAAAGTTTAATAAATAATGCAATAAATAAAACGAGAATTTAATTTAAAGAACAAGTTTTAATTGTAAAATATAATTATTAAATCGATAGATTATTGTTCAAGCTAATGAATTTTTTTGTCAATACATTGGCAACGTAATATTTTTACATTTTTCTTTCTCTTTACTTTCTAGGGTCAATTTCGGTATATTCTGTTCGACACCAGGAATTCCACTAATACGCAATGTACCTAAAAAAGTGGCAGCTCATATGCTCTTTACTGGACTTCCGATCTCCGCCGTCGAAGCATATCAAGCTGGTCTGGTTAGCAAGATAGTGCCAATTGATATGCTCGGTTAAGTTTAACCAATATTCCCTCTCTCACTCTCTCACTCTCTCACTCTCTCACTCTCTCACTCTCTCACTCTCTCACTCTCTCACTCTCTCACTCTCTCACTCTCTCACTCTCTCACTCTCTCACTCTCTCACTCTCTCACTCTCTCACTCTCTCACTCTCTCACTCTCTCACTCTCTCACTCTCTCTCTCTCTCTCTCACTCCTACATAGTATTGCTCTAGTATTAATTTTGCAAATTCTATTCTTAATTTCGAGTATTATGACATATTTTGGAAAATGTTTCTTACAAAAAATATTATTCAAAGTTTATGAAAATGATTGAACTGGGACAGTTTTTTTTTTTTTTTGCTTTTGTTTTATTGTTTTATGTTAATGTTAGTTTAATATTTAAGTAAATGCTGCGAGAATACGCAGTTAATAAGTAAAGTTGATTATTAAGTTTAATATTTAAAAGCACATATTTGCATTTAATTTAGAAAGAAGAGTTTCACCTTAGTCATATCTATTTAGAGGCTACGTATCTGATGTAAAATAAGTTTGCTTCTTTTATAATATGACATTTGCCTTTTAACGAAAATTTAAATATTTCCATAAATTTCGGTTATTTTTATAATATACAATTATAATAACGTGTTAACAAATAAAATATAAATAAAAATCCTAACGTACGTAATTCAAATTCATTGACATTGTTTTTACAATTTAATTTAAATTGCCGACATTTTAATCAACAAATACATTTTTATTTGTTCTTATTACAAATTCACTGTAAGTCTTTGAATTGGGAGTAGAACGTATAGTCGTAAGCGTGGCTATAATATATATATATAAATAAACTGTTGGGAAGTATCGATCTAAAGCAGAGGTAGATTGTTGAGCTTATTCGAGTAAGTTCTGGAAATAGAAAATACGAGTATAACAGTGAATATCTCTGGAGAAAAGTTTTCAAAAATAAAGAATTATCCCACTATTTTCCATCGTGCCCGGGAAGGCATTTGGCGATGGACATTGTAGCTATTAAAAATAAAACATGTAAATTTACTCACTGAAAAACTGGTAATTATTTTTAAAAGACGATTCCTTCTTAGTATTTTAATGATTTGGAAATGGAGATTGTAAAGACTAAGTCTATTTCGGATAACTGTTTTTTTTTCTTTTTCTTTTTTTTTTTTTTTAATTTCTTTTCTTTTATTCTATTGCATGAGTAAATGTCGCTTGGGTTTTCTCGATAAAAAATACATTGATACAATTAAATTAGCAAATTGATTGGTGTTATTAAATTTATAATAATTAAAGATCACACGTAGGAATACATATTTGTAAATGTATAATAATTTGCAAGGCAAAATAAGTGATAAATTATATCTGCATTCAAATTCATTCGTTGATTTTCTTCTTTAATTATGATGCAAAAAATTATAAAATTATGTACATTTATTTCAATAATAATTAAATAATGACTTATCCATCCAACGTATAGAATAAGTAGAAAATCAGTTTAATTAATGATCTTTATAGTTTGATTATTATTCTCAAAAGTTATAATTGACATGAATGAAAGTACGTAATGTTGTCATTAAGCAACAGTATCTAGTAAAACAGTTAATAATAAAATTCATTTAATGAATAATGTAACATTTAATAGTCGTAGTATGAAATTAAATAGATAAAATTGGATAGAGGAGGAAAGAGCATCTTTCATATCTATATCGATTCAATAATAATTATTACATCAAACTATGTTTAAAATCATTAATGTATATATATATATATATTCCATACATTTTAGAACAAGAAATTAATAAAATTACGGATGCTATTAATCAAAAGAGCCGATCAGTTATTCAACTTGGAAAACAATTTATCAAAAAACAATTGGAAATGGATATTGATAAGGCTTATTCGCTCGGAACTGAAATTATGGTGAAAAATCTAAAGTTAAAGGATGCCCAAGAGGGAATAAAGAGTTTTACGGAAAAACGAAAACCATCGTGGAATCATAATTATGACGAAGTTTTTTAAATTTGTTTCTTTTTTTGTTATACGGAATATGAATTTCACGTTAATGTGCAAGTTCAATCATCTATTTAAAACGTAGAAAAAAGGCAAGTACAATTATTAAATATATGTGTGCGTGCGTGCGTGTGTGTATCCTTAATATAGTAGGGTTCTATAGACAGGATCATCAACTCATTGCATAAATATTTAATGTAACTTTTTTATAATTTAATCGTTTAATTAGCTCTTTTTAGGATTTCGCATTACTCAATGTTATAATGTCAATTGGAAAATCGACAATGTATTGTGACAATGTATTTTGTGTTGTTCCACAATTTTTAATAATATTAAATAATCGTAATATACATTATCGTGTATATATTATTTGGAAACGCAATTACCAATGTTTTAAATAATAATAAAAATATTTAATTATACAATTGTTCATTATTCCAAATAATATTTTATTCTTTGATTTAGTTTAAAACTTTGAGACAGTGTATATATAAACATTTATATCTTCTATCTCTATTTATAAAATATTCAAAAACATTTTCTATTCTATGTTGTCCTTTGTATAGGCGTAAACAAACTTACTCAGGGTGTCGGATTGTAAATTCTTTTCATTTATTCATATAATTAAGATTTTTTAAACTTCGTTCGTACAGTTAATACTAACGTTACATATATTTTTGTTATGAACTTGTAATTTTTTAAAAACTCACTGATATTTCGAAATTGTTTAATGATAAGTAGTATATTAATAATAAGAAATGAAGTTAATGTAACAAAACTTTTCGGATTGTTGTAATTAATATTTCAGTCGTTGCTTTAATTATATTCATTGTCATTTATTATATATTACTGATTAGCATGACAAACTCATTTATTTATATCTTAAATATCAATATAAATTACAATTTTTCACTTAAATATATTTTAAGTGCATAACTATTTAATAAATTAATTACTGAGCTACACGCAGTGTTTGGCATATAAATAAAATTCGCGAAATAGTGAGGCAATGAATTATTTTGATTAGTAATGATAATACGTATTAATATTTTTTGTTATTAATGTCTATTGGTATTGCAGGAAACACTCTATATCTACAAAATATCAAACTGTTTCATAATTTCAATTATCTACTTGAAATTAGATGTGCCAAGTTAAGTAACTGGGGTAAATAAAAAAAAAATAAAATAAATAAATAAATAAACGTGCAAATGTCTAAGAGACTTTATATTAATCTAAAAGACAATATGATTGTCTTAATATTAATAATTATTTTGATAATATGAGAAAGACAACATGTTCGTTGATAATAGATAGATAATAAAAAAACTGATGATTTCAGCAATAATTATTGAAATAAATAAATAAATAAATAAATAAATATATATATATATATATTTCTATAATTTTTTTGTTTACTCGATTGATTATTATGAAGTGAAATGGAAATTGCAAATTATAAAATTAGCATCTAATTGCAGACTGTACGTGCGTTGAACTGGAATAGTATTGATAATTAAATTTATTACTTTTTCCCTAAAATATCCCATTACTCCATAATTAATGCGCAGTTCGCTCAATGAATTATTGTTTTTCATTTTATGCATCAAGTTCCAATAAGTTATTTTATCATTTAACATTTAACGCTTTCAATTTTACTTTGGATATAAAGAAGCTTTGAATAAAATGATAATGAAATTGTCCATTGACGTTTATATTAAACATTTGAATATCGATATTTTAGTTTAAATTTTGGTTTAACCTTAATGCTCATCCTTTAACGCCGATGTACTTTTAAATTTGACAATAATAATGTGTAAAATTATATGGTTTTTGTAAATCACACTGGAAATATGTATTCAAGACTTGAGAGCGGCAACCTTTCATCAATGTGAAATCAATGTTATCGCACGAATGAGATAAAACAAGATGATAATGTATCATAAAAATAGTAATACATAAATTTTTGTGTTCGTAAGTGGCAAAAATGGGAAATCAACAGATGAAAAATGCTATGAGGTCAGGAGTATATTTCTTATATTAACATTAAGTGATAAGTGCTTTGTAAATTAAATACAAAAGGCAATGACAGTTTATCATATTTTATGTGATTGATCATATTTTATGTAAAGCTATGGAATTCGTAGATTAATCGAAAAAAAAAAAAAATTCACAATCAATTTAAATCGAATAGCCAATAAATATACATTTGTGAAATATACGTTCGTGATTTTCAAAGTTAAAATCGTTTAAATGACGCAATCGCAATGGGCATGACGAGATATAGAAAGTCTAGGTTCGGACTGCCGAAAATAACAAGTAGTAACGAGCAACATTTGTCAAATTATTTTTTATTCAAACACGCATTACGCAAAGGATACAAAAAAAATAACTACTAAAGTGCGAGTCGCAGAGCAAAGGCATCAATGGCGAGCGAGGTGTGCTCCGTTTGTCGGAGATAAGAAAAAAAAAAAAAAAAAAAGTAAGTCGGCTCAGTTCTCGACGAGGTTGTTAATCTCGGGCTCCTTCTCAGCGACGAGGAAACGGGCGATCCTAGCGTTCTTGGGCTCGGACTTGTCGTCGCTGAGTTTCGCCTCGGCCACACCCCCGTTATTCTTCTTCTTTAACTTGCTAATGATGTCGCTGGGCGAGGGCTTCTTTCCCTCGTTCGGAGCCACATCCTTGCTCGGCTGCTCCTTAGGCTCCGCGTCGCCGGGGCCGCGGCTTAGCCTCAGGTTCGTCTGCAAGCCTTCCTCGACGTTTGATCGGGTGATACCTGCATTAAGGAGCGGCCTTAATTGAAAGCCGCGCCCGGCAGGTGGTTGCAATGAAAACTGCGACTGTAGCGACATGGGCGACTGCAGCGATGCTGGCGGTTGCAACGATACCGGCGGTTGCAGCGATACCTGTGATTGTAGCGCCACCGGCGATTGCAGCGATACCTGCGGCTGTAACGATATCGGCGATTGCAATGACACTTGTGATTGCAACGATACCGGCGATTGTAACGACACTTGCTGTGGCATTGTCGATATTGTTGGGGCCACGAAGCGAGCTTGGTACGATGGAAGGATCTGGAATAATTAGAAGTTTTGGAGATTTTAGTTGGCGAGTAGCATTGATCGTCGTTTGCACGGAGCTACCGTGCCATTTCATTCGATTGTCCTTTGCAATTGTACTTTTGCTTTTTTATCTTCGATGCTTTAACTGTTCATTGTACCGCGTTGGCGTTTAGGCAAAGCTGTATAAGCGATTAAACATAAACCGACTGTGTATATATGTATTTGTATTTAAAGAAGTTTAAAGGTATTGGTTAGCTTGGCTACGACACTGCTCACTTGTTAGCACATAAATCAATAAAGATGAAATAGAAAAATAAACTTTACTCCTAATGCTAATCAATTGTTTGTCTTTGTTTTTGTTTTTGTTTTTGCTTTTAATATAAGGCGACTCTTTAAGTTATTCGACTATTTCGAACTTGGGATATTATTAAGTAAATAATAATGCGAGAACATTAATTTAACTGCGGTATTATCTGGGCGTACGTTAGATAAATAGTTGATTAATTTGTCTCGATATGTTTTTTTTTTTTTTTTTAATTTATTTTTTTTTTAAATTTATTTATTTATAAATTAAAATCGGTTAAGATTGCGCGTACATTAAAGAAATAAATGATGGCGTTGAAGTGAGATTAAGTGAAGCTAGATCAATGCCGATTTACAAAATCGTGTAATTTTGTAATAATTTAGTATTTATGCGATGAGTTTAATTCAATCATGAGAATATATGGGTACGCACGAGTGTAAACAGTGGGCGCAATGTTTTAACTCATAAAATTTGGAGTAAATTATTTGTTATAAATATAAGGTATATTCGTGAGAATCGAGGGGGCAGATTGATTTTTAATTAAAATTTTAATCACTCGCGGATCAACATTATTGTTTCAGTAGAAATTTAATTATTGCTTGGACGATCAAAGTACCATCTAAGCAAAGGCTTATTATCTACATCTCATTTCGCGATGCGAATCTATCCAACAAAACGAATAATCCAACCAACTCATTAACACATTCTAAATAAATCAATTTGTTTCATACGGGCATTTGACGCTCTTGCCCCTCTTCATAAATCGCGTCCCACAACTAACCACCAACATTCATTGATTTCCTAGAAACTAGAAAGTCTAATGGACTGGGATTGAGCGAGTTCAACGAGCATCCAATCAAACCGAGTATTTGCTACTATCAGGCCAATAAAAATTCAATTGGCCATTGATTAGAAACGTGAAAGAAGTTAATCAATAATTAGACTGCAAACAAATATATTTTTCGTTGTAACTTTATTCAATATTAGCTTTGTACATGCTTAACTAAATATAAAGTATTTCACTCACAACCAAAAAGAAAGGAATCTTAAGCTACGTTTTAGCAATCACTGACCGATTTGCCGCCCATTTGTAATGAGGAACCTGCCGATACTGTCGGCAGTGACACCGACACCGTTGGGCTGTTGGACCCTCCTGGAGCCAATTGCCTGGCATTGGTGGACGGCGGCTGAAACACGAGCGTATCGTCAATTTTTCCTCAAACTCTCTTTAAATTTTATTTCATCAAGGCATCTCTCGTTTGGATGAAGAATTTTCATTTACGCGCCCACGACTCCCACACTTGTCTCGTTAATTTTTATGCATTAATTACTGGACGCTAAGGGCAATGGACGATGCTTAGTTTTGAAGAACAAAATATTGCCTCCGAGTGAGTGTTCGAAATACAATTTTGTCACATCGATCGTA